ATGCAGAGAGAGCGGTGATAGTGCTAGTGGCCGAGAACAAGCCTTACTTTTTCAAATCACTTTATGCCTTATCAAAGTGTGTATATACAGCATTTAGGGATGGGCCGGTGAGTTTTATCCAATCGTCAGCTTGAATATGGTTATAAGAATGATACTCTCTGCTTTGATCATGTCCTTCTCATAATGACGGACGAGAGCTAAGCACATTTTCACCGGAATCGAAGCAGATTGCCCCGGTAACGGCATCAACAAGAATGTTCTACTGGACCAATCAACAGCTGGTTAAGATGAGTCCTCCGTCGTCTTCTGTTTGGATCGACCTTGCAATCTATTCACCAATTGTGCTAGTTCGAATATGAAATAAGATCAACATTTATAATATAATTTTTTTGATTATTTTCGTTTCATATAAAAAATGCTTGATTAAGCGACGTTTAGGCTTGTGCAGTCCACGTGACATCCTCTCTCGTTTCCTGCGTGTACTAACGGAGCTTCCACCCATCCTATAATGGATACCATCAGAGCTGGAACTCATTCTTGTAGATATCTCAAGCTAACAAAGTCAAGTGGACTGTCCGGCTCTTACTTTTTATACATACTCATAAGTAAAAAACGAAAATGTATTTGCCTAGAGAGATATATAATGATTTGGCTAAGGCGTAAGATAGAACTGGAAATTCATCCTCTTTAGTTTAAATTTATAAATGGACTCGTATTTCAGTTTCCCCACAGTGATATAAATAGAAAATGGATGGGTTAATCAATTGCTACAGCAAATACAACTTTGCTTCATCGGTAATCCCACCACAGAACGTGATATAGCAAAATGTCTGTGTCGGGGTTATACACTGTGCTGCCATGGTTCGAGTCCCACTCGGGGTGCTGATGAGACCAGTTAAGACGGGGTCGAAACTACAGTCCACTCTGGATGGGAATACGTTTAGGGAAAGCAGGGCTTCTGCAGGTGAAGAGGAATCAGTCGTAGTCTGCCGGTGTAATCGACCTTCGAATCTCTTCTTCATTCACTTTCATTCAAAATGAAAGTCTCCCCAACAATATTATCTCATGAGAGTCACCGAAGTCCAGTTTCTCTACCCATTATTATAATATACTTCCAGTTATTTAGTCTTCTATACTCGAATATGTCACTTTAGGTTTTTTCGTAGCGCACAGATCTACAAAGAATGGATTTTTGTAACTTCACTTTTGTCCTCCTTTTCAGCTGCTTCGATTTGTCTTGTCTGCCTGACAACCCTTTTATTTCGCCTCCTGAGTCAAGTCGGGCCTCCGCAACCCGGCACGGGGATAAAGTCAAACCGAACCGATATCCCACCCGAAGAGGTCCTATTCATCCTTCTGACCGGCTCAAGTTAGAGGACACATTTCGACTGAAAAGACAAGACCGTAGGTCGACTTATTTTGAAGGACTTTTCACAATTATTTTATTTTCTTGTGATTACCTGTCATGCTTATCCTTTCTGTATCTGCTTGAGAAGTGGAAAACGAATTCTCTATAGAGGGACGCCAGAGCACCTTCGGCTTACAACCCTCAAAAGACACACAAAAATGGAATTATTTCAAGATTGATTGTTAATAATAGGGAATGTGTGATGCATAGGCTTTCACAATTCGAATGCAGACAATTAAAGAAAGTGACTGACTGGTGGAAATATTCAGTGAATGATTTACATGAATTTGTAGATTGATAGATCAACAGAGTATTCGAGAGGAGGGTGAGAGAATTGAATTCCTTTAAGGTCCCTTACAGTGATTTGAAGACTGCCAATTGGGATTTACCACAATCGAATGATCAGACCTCACAGTGTCATTGCATTTTACTGTATAGAACTGGTCTGACCTCGTTTCATCTATTTAGTCGTGTCGTCAGGGAGGCCTCGTTGGACACACCTTGTCAAAAGTCATCTGCCACAAAGGTATGATAATTTCAAGCGTTGGGCCGTGAGCTTGGTACATTCCCAGTCATTTCACCGGTATCGTCAATCCATCTTGCCATTCTCAGCACCGAGCTACTACTCGTCCCAGAGACAAATAAACTCAATCCCTTGACCAAATGGTTGTGTCTTTACTCCTTCTTCGAGCAATACAACAGTCTTCACAATTCAGCAAACCCCCTTTCGGTTTCCGGAGACACGATGACACCAATTCCTTCCAACCAACTTTTCGAAATGGAAAGTGTTTTGACAATCTATCACTCCCTCTCCTCGTATCTCACTCCCTCGCTGTCACAACTTCTGGCTTGTTTATATTCGACTCATCAAGAGGTGGGTCCTTTTTTGGCGAGTTTAGTGGGCCATTATCAGACCTGATTGTGTACCATGTCCTCCCTCCTTCTTGATTTGCCGGAATTGCTGATCTGATTTGGATCTCTTGTCCAAATCTTCCTCACGGCATCGAAGATTCATTTTCTGTCTTACAGGTTGACTGATTTCACTCGATCCCAGTCACAGTATACGTTTTAATAAGGGTGCTATTTCCTTAGGATCTAATTTACAGGCTTGCAGATACCAGACATTATCTCCAAGTGAGCCTTCAAGACCACCATTAGATCATATATATGAGATAACAGGACTGGTAGTTGAATTTTTGCATAAGGATATGAGGAGACATGACGTTTACATTGAATTTTTCATAGCCCTTATTGCCCTAAACCAAATAGGATAACCACATCCTATATATATTGTCTCAAAAATACACCTCTATGATTCAATCGGTATATTTTAAACAATCCATGAAAGTCTATTTCTGGTCTCCTACTGAATCTCGAGGAGATTCCTTGTCAATTTGGCTCCGATCTACCAGCTACAATGCCTAATTTCTGAGACGGTTGTGATTATCCGTCCCCGTATAACTTTGACTGCCAGGCGCTTGAAGTCTTAGTAGTTGTTGAAAGCTTCTTTGCTTAATTTTTGAATATTCCTCACTTGCTTCTTCCTAGCGATCTCTTTTTTCTCTGGTTAACTATAGATCCTCGATCCAGGAGTCGTTAGCATGACTAGCCAACTTGACAACAAAGACTACCTAATTCACATTAAACGGTAACATCTATGAAGGAATAGCTGGACTTTCTATGAAATCCTTGCTTACCTCTTTTGATAAGTGTATGTATGACAAATTAGAAGAAGTTTTCCGCTGCAGCCAAGAGTGTTCATGCGGTATCTGGATGATCACTTTACACTTTGGTCGTATGGAAGAGAAATTTTGAAGTATTTTATTAAATGATGAATTAGTCAAGTTTACAGTTGAAGTGGAGTAGGAATAGCATTTACTTTCCCCGGATGTTTAAGTCATTCGCTCAAATGCGGCACTCATAAAGAAAATTGTCGAGAAAGAAAACATATGCCGGAATAATACTTAATTTCTAGTCTCCTCGCAACTACAAACTGAAGCCCGGAATAGTGAGGAGCATGATCATCACGATCAACGGACGTGGAAGTCCTGGATGAAGAATTGGGCAAATTGACTCAGATATCCCCTGGAAACGGATACTTGAACAAAGTAAATGAAATATAAAAATGAGCTGTGAAAAGCCGATGGCAGGACGAGGATTAGGAATGAAAATTCAGAATGGAAACAGACTCACAAAAGTGGATATACCTACCTTCCTACGAACGAATTCAAAAACTACGGCCGATATTAAGAAAATGGAAAATATCCGGTGACCACGAAGGAAAAAAATAACACTCTTCACAAGTTTACACACGCACAATGAAAGAGTGGACAAATTGGATTGCTCTGGAGTTTACGGCATGGTATGCGTAGTCTACAAACAGAAATATATTGTCGAATCAGTGAGGAAAATCAGCATAAGAATCAATGAAGATCAAAGACACTGCAGGTTATTGGATACCAAAAAATCAGAAATAACGGATTACCTCGCACAGAATGGACACGAGATCAATTGGGAGGTAACAGAAAGAAGGGTCTGTTAAGGCAAAAACACAAGGAAACGCAAGATTATGGAGGCTGTTGGCATCCTTGCGGAAAGAACTTTCATGAACCGAAGATTTGAAGAGGGCAGATTTAACAATAACTTTGCATATTTTTTCAGCAAACTCGGAGAAAAAGGAGACTTCTGGATCCAAGATCTATCGTTAACCAAATTGACGAAAAATCCACTCGAGATGCAGCAGGAGATCGGAAATAAACTTTCGTAGTTTGTTTAAAAGACACGGATTGCTTCACAGATATGCCTTGTGAAGACACTATTTAATAGCTACAAGCCTGTGAATCAGGGCTTTGGCGCTCTATTCGATGAGGCCACAGAAGATGTGCTACCAAAGCCTTATGGCAGACCATGTGAAACAACCCCTGAAACCGAGGGAAATCAGCTAACGAGTAAGAAGAGAAACGAATCTCGCCGACCATACGGTAGATTCGCATAGTCGGTCTAATTCGGATTCGGAATTAGGGCGCGAGTGAGATAAGATCATTTTTTATTTTGAAGAGAAAGTTGATTGCAAGGAATTCGAAGGAGGATTGCCGCGTGGGGAAGGCTGTTGCATTTTGCGAAGAAGTCCTCGCCTCACTGTCCTGCGACCACAAAGAAACTGTACTAGGCTTTCGTCTCTACCATGACAGACATCATCAAAGCAGGCATCCATACTTCACGAAATATTGTAAAAAATAGCTTCGATATGAAGATAGTCGGTATGGTCGCAGTCTCCTTTCGATTTATACCAGCGGGTTGACCATGTTTTCGCAACTTGCTCTTGTTGTCAGGGCGACTTAGTAGAAAGCACCTTGTCCGAAGTCATCTGCCATAGTAGTTGCCACACTTCCCAGCATCAGACCGCCGAATTGGTACATTCTCAGACGTTTCGCCGACATCGTAGTCGGCATCATCAGTGAGTCTGCCATTCCCAGCACCAAACTACAACTTGACAAAAGTCAAAGTGCCTCCAGCTAAGTCGCCCTGACAACCAGATCAGGTTGCGAGAACGAGGCCAGCCCAATTTTATAAAAAATATTTTAGTTTAGTATATTTTTGCTCTACTTCGTGAAGTATGGATACATGCTATGATTATGTCTGTCACATGACAGACGAAAGTTGAGTACAGTTTCTTCGTGTTCGCAGGACAGTGGCACAATTCTACAATCCTCCTTCGGTTTCCGGCGAGACCACATCACGAATTCCTTCCAACCAACTTTTCCTTCGAAATGGGAAATCATGTCGCAATATATCACTAAGACATTCTTCGAAACACTGTTTTTCCTCATAAGAGGTCAGGGCCTGTGTGGATGTGCCAGGCTCGAAAGAGTGGTGTTGACAGAACAGTTCAACAGAAATTCGGTCAGGGGATTCATTTCACTTGTCTCTTTGAACAGCTGTAGTTTGGTGATAAGATTGGCGAAATTCACTGACGATGTCGGCCAAATGTCTGGGAATGTTCCAAGACCACGGTCAAACGCTGGAAATGATCATAACCAATAGAGCAAAGGACCTCGGACGAGGTGCGTCCAACCGGATCGTCCTGACAACACGACCAATTTGCGAAAAGAAGGTAGCATCACTAGGCATCAAAAGAAGACTGCGACCAAAATAGAGGCCACGACAGCTTCGTCTTCATATCTACCATTTTTCTTTTTTAAACTTAGAATTACTGGCACTATAGAACACTACTTTTATCGAAATTATTTACATTGAATTTTACCTGCTACTCTATTCCTGAAAGGTTTTAAAAACCCATTTTGTAAATGCATCCACAGCCTAGTTTCCACTTTTTATGGTGGTGGTGGTGGTGGTGTACTGATAAGAAGGACATTTTATGCCATCTTAGAACCCACATCTCGCAATAACAAAATACTTTGCTCTGACACTAAGCCAATTCCTGAACATTTCTCCTATTTGAAAGACATTTATTAACTGGTAGATATCACTACCCATGATTGGCCTAAGCTATTAATTGACTTTGCTAATAGACATTTTTCTATCTCTTACTCTGGAGGCCCTGAATGGAATGCTCTTTCAACACGTCATAGGTCGTGTAATAGATAATGTCATTACATGCCATACTGTGTAATTACGTTGGATAAGTTAGCTGGAAGATATCTCTTCTCGGAGCTGAACTTGTCAATTTAAGCACATCATATATAAATATAAATAGATTTATATTTATATGTGATCACTTATGCATGCATACATAAATAAATTCACACGTGCACACATAATTGTATGAATCAGCACACACGGACAAATTGATTGATAGATTAAACTCTCCAACTTTTTTATTCTAATTTATTTTTGCTGATCATTTTAATGTTAAGCTTTATGTTACCTCTTCAGAGCAACAAGTTTGATTTCAATCCACACAAAAATAGGTTCACGTCTTATCCACACCTTTTATGGAGTGAAT